ACATCAAGTTATAACCATAGTTGAATAGCAGCTTCTTCTTCCTGATTTTAATAAGCTAGAATGCCCAATAAGAAAATAAATATTATCTGATATGTTTTTATGAGTCAATAGATTTATTCTCTATATGTATTAAGTAAGAGTAGAGTGTTATATATAACACAAGACGGTTTTAAGTGCTTAACAAAATGATAAAGGCTACTAATAATTATTCTGTTTTAGCCCTTATGTGACACAAAACTCACTTGTCATTTGATACACTTCTGTGGAAACCAGGAAGTAGCTTATGGTTTGCTTTTATATCATTCAGAAAAATAGAAAAAGGAAGACATTTAGCAAATTGGTTTACTTTTTAAAGCAAGTTGAACCAAGTTAAATATCTTCAATGTGATTGTCAATAAAGTGATTCTAGGGTTTTATAAGATAACACTAAAAAAAAAAACATCAGAAGATTGCTTTTGAGATTGCTCTGTAGAAAAAACTAGGTAAGAATATGGTTCGGTGGAAAGACCACGTGTCCTCACTGGTTTCATTCTACAGTAAACTTACCTGTTGAATTAGTTGCAGAATAATATAGAGATTAATCATGACCATTGGAGACATGGACCTAAGTCAAGCTATCCAACTTCTCTAAGCCTCAGAAGATAATAGCTCCATCTGCCTCTTATCATTGTGAGGGTTCAGTGATAATCAGTGAGATTAAAAAGCAAGACTCATCTCCTCCTCATTATTTCTGTTCTAGCACTTAGCATAGTGCCTGGCTAATAGTATACCTATAGGTAATAGTCACTGAATGGCCTGACCACTTTCCCTCAGATTTCTGTTGAAAGCCCATTGAAGGTTCCGATTAAGTTGCTATTATAATTTATCTTCTAAACAGGGACATTTTTAAGAGCAAAAAAGATTACTATTAAGAATTATGATGGGACAACAGGCATAAAGCACATCACTCCAGGCAATCAAGGCATTTTGTAAACCCTAGTTCACAGTATTGCCTATAAATTGTAACTGTTTATGCCCATATGTCAAATCAAATTCAATGCGTCTTAAATTTTGCTACTCCTGCTCTCTCAAAATGTTTTTTAGTCCACTTATATATTGATTGTTCACATATTAATTTTATTTTTCCTGAGTCTTAATCCCAGAAACTTCTACAGAAACATTTTGACTTTCTGTACAACATGATTTTTTTTTTTACCTGAATTGTGTCTTCTCAAAATTCACATGTTAAACTCTTAACTCCCAGTACCTCAGAATGTGATGGAATTTAGAAATGGGAACTTTGAGGAGCTGAGATAAAGTGAGGTCATATGATGGGTGGGCTCTGATTCAATATAACTGGTTGTCCTATAAGAGATTAGGACACAGGCACACAAGGAGGGAAGACATGTGAAGGGAGAGGGAGACGACAGCCATTTATAAACCAAAGAGAAAATCTCAGAAGAAACTAATCCCATAGAAATCTTGATCTTGGACGTATAGCCTCCAAGACTGTGACAAGATAAATTTCTGTTTTTTAAGCCATCCAGTCTATGGTACTTCATATGGCAGCCCTAGGAAACTAATACAATGGTACAAATTCATTAAGTGTTTGTATTTCTTTGCAGCCACAAAACCCATGGCCTCAACAGGTCATTTTTCAATCACTTACATAGCTTCTCCAGTAGTCTTGCTTTATCCAGTTTCTCTTCCCTCTGATGGGTGTTTCATAGTACCTCTATTTTATTATTTCTAAAATCACTCAGCATTTCTACTATACCTGAAATAATTTCCCCAAGATCAGTTTTGAATTCTTCAAACAAAACACCAACGGTTCAATCTACCAATCCAATTTTACGTACTCAGTGGCATTTTTCCTTATGTTCCATGATACATTATTTATATCATTTAGCGTAGGTTCTGTTCCATGCCTCATGGACATCATACCTGTGTTGTCTGTATTTTCTGACTGTCACTTACTTCTGGTATACCTACTTAGCTTTTCATTTTTATCAGTTTACTCAGAGTATTTTAATATTCTATATTATATATTTGGTGTGCGTGTAGGGGGAAAATCTCGATGGGGAAGAAATACTCACATTGCATTTTCACTACCTCCAGGAGATAAAATATACCTATATACTCTTTATTACCAATAGTTACCTATAGTAGCCATCAGAATGTTTAACAAAAGAAACTTTATATCAGAATCAGAACTTACGGGCTAATGGTTCTTCTATAAATGTTTGCTGAATGGTGTTCAGAGAATTATCAGATGGCAGTTTAAAATTTCCTCTAGAAGTCCAAAGTAAGTGGGCTTGGATTGTGTGCAAAAGGGTATGAAATACCTCATCCAATCAGAGCAACATTGAGACGAATATATTTAGCTAGTAGTTTTTTTAACCTGGTATAAGGAGGAGTAAAACAGTAGTTGATAGTGTTTTGCTTAGCTGTGGGCCTTCAGATGTGGTTTCCTTGTCATCTGATAGACTTATTAATGTAGCAAATTGCATACATTTTCAAAAATATGTAATTAAACTAGTAAGTATATGTATGCATACATAAGTTACCAATAATGTTATTCGTTGCTTGATAATAACACTAAATTTGATTCTGATTTCAGTATTTAAAACATTTTCATTTTTTGCCATCTTCAAATAATCCATGTGCCCATTTCATTTATAAAAGTAATACCAGTAATGGCAGATATAAGATGAAATATAATATGGTGATGTATTATTCAAATCCGTTTTTAAATATTGGAGGAAACACAGATTTTTCACACCATTGATAGATGTTTTCCTTTTTGCTGTTCCCTTTTGTTGCATTTTGCTTTCCTTTGTTTTGTTTTCTGTTTTGTTTTAGAGTTATAACAAGCCAATTAAAAAGATGGTTCTATTTCTTTGGCCTCATACATGCATAAATGTAAGGGCTTTCACTTGATTGCTTCAAGAACTTACTGTTCTATTAAAAAAATTTAAAACCCACAATCTCAACTAAGTTCATTCTTTTTATTTTTTTAATACCTGGCAATATTCTAAATCTAAAATCCAATTAAAAGTTTATTTTGCAATTCTTAACTGACAACATTAATGAAGGAATTGAACCCATTTCTATGATCATGGCTTACATTAGAGGTTGAAATTAGAGCATTGGGAAATACACAATGAATGTTAACAAAAATATTAACAGGATGCCTGGGTGACTCAGTGGTGGAGCGCCTGCCTTAGGCCCAGGGTGTGATCCTGAAGTCCCGGGATCGAGTCCCACGTCAGGCTCCCTGCATGGAACCTGCTTCTCCCTCTGCCTGTGTCTCTGCCTCTCTCTCTCTCTCTGTCTCTCATGAATAAATAAATAAAATCTTTAAAAAACAGAACAAAACAAAAACAAAAGTATTAAAAAGAAAACTAGTATAGTTCTATTACTATCAGAAGATATGACTTTATTTAAAACAATTTTTTTATTGGAGTTCAATTTGCCAACATGTAGCATAACACCCAGTGAAGATATGAAGCAGAAAAGAATATTAAAGAAAAAGATTACTGCATAAGAGCACAATATTAACTGAGAATAAGTACCAATTCTCAGCTTTTATGCACCTAATAACATAGAAGCAAAGCATGTTCAGTACAAACTGAAGAACTAGGTAAAAAGATAAACAAATCTACCATCTGGGTAAAATGAAGTGACTTAGTTCTCTGGTAATTAAAAACTGGTATAAAATTTACTAAATATAGAGAAATCAAACAATGTAAATGAAATGCTTGATGGATGAGGATTACATACAACTCTGCACCAATGATTTCAGAATATATATTCTGCTCTAGGGCACATGGACCATTTTAAAGCTTTACTATTTATACTACTACAAGACATAAAACAGGAAAAGAAGAGATATTCTGTTAATTCTTCTTAGATGATATCATTACATATGTACAAAATTCATAGAAACAGTCATAAATTGTGAGAATTAATGAGTTTATCAAATTTTGCAGATACAAAGTTAGTATATCAAAGTCAAATACATTATACATCAGTAATAATGTATTATCAGTAGAATTGTAAAGTTTTGTCAATAATATGAATATAAAGTGCTTAGAAATGAATCAAAGATATACAATACATTTATAAAGAAAATTAGATAGCTAATTGGATTATGCTAAAGGAAACCTAAATAAATGAAGAGTTAGACTGTCGATGAAAGAATAATTGCTGCTCTAATTAATAGAATCAATGGCATCCAAACAAAACACAAGAGTTGGCAGGGGTTGTTTTTGGGAAATAATTAGAAATTTATATTAAAGAACAAAAGTCAAGTATAGCCCAGGCTTTTGAAGAAGCATAAACCGAAGGAGCTTAGTACACCAGATAGATGGGCAGGGATAGATATATGAAAAACAGAGCAGAGATTCCAGAAATAAACTCTTGCATAGGAGAATATTTTAATTTTTGACAAGAGAGCAGTTTATATCACAGGAAAAATAAACTTCTCAACAAGTGATGTTTAGACAATCATACATGTTGAAAACATTTCTATCTATCCATCTATTTATTTATATCTGTAGGTATATAGGTATTCATACCTATGTCTGTACCTATTCTATATTGATATTATAACTAGATACCCCTCCTATCGTACTTTAATCAATTCCAAGTTTACAAAAGGCTTACCTGTAAGAGACAGAAAGAAAAGCTTTTAGTGGAAATTACAGAAAAGTCACTTTATGACCCAGGAACAAAATTAGACCCTTGTCTAATTTTTAGACAAGGCATGGAGAGAAGACCATAAAGTAGAAACCTAATCGATTCAGCTACAAAAGTTACCATAAAAAATGAAAGACAAGTTAAAAGGGAAAGGAGTTATGTGCATAGTTTATAAATGAGAGCACATAAAGAATGTATAAAGAATCATAAATATATAATGATCCTAACAGAACAATATGAAAATTGAAAAATGACCAGAAGGAAAGATAGCAAAAGACTTGAGTAGATATTTATTAGCAGAAGAAATGAAATTGGCTCACCAGGGCATGATCCTGGAGTCCCAGGATCGAGTCCCGCATCTGGCTCCCTGCAAGGAGCCTGCTTCTCCCTCTGCTTATGTCTTTGCCTCTGTGTGTGTGTGTGTGTGTGTGTGTGTGTGTCTCATGAATAAATAAATAAAATCTTAAAAAAAAAGAAAAGAAAAGAAATTGTCCCAGAAACATTTATAAGGGCAAAATCAGTTATGATGAGGTAAATACAAATTAATATCACAATGAGTTGGGATTTCACACCTACCAGATACTAAATATTCTGCCAAAGTATATGTGACAAAGTAGACCACCCAGTATAATTATAACCTTCTGATGAACGTGTACGTCAATACAATCATTTGGAAAACAATTTACAACTGTTAAGTTGAAGAAACACATACCATCAATGGCAAAGGCAGTGGTATTCACCAAATATTCATCTGCTTTACCAAATTTCCTGCTACGTTTTTTTTTTTTCGAGGGAGCTGTGAGCAAAAGAAACAGAAGTCATAGGAGATACAAAACCCATTAGCTCTCTTTGCTCTTGGGAAGAGCCTTGCTAAGTCTGGGTCTCTGCCTGACTGTGTGAACCTGAACACCATTCCTTTCCTATAGCACAGTTTATGTGACTGAGAATTAAAACTTAGTAGCATTAAGTCTCTGATATGTTGGGGCGATAGTTTTCCTATAGCAAGAGTCTAGCCTATTTTACCTAAAATACCCTGAGCTAACTAATTTCTCCCCTCAGCATACCTCAGAGCAGTGCTTAAAACTAAAGCTTACAACTTACTACAGACTCAAAAGATCCAGTGAGCCAAAACTAGCATCCCGTTTTTTTTAAAAAAAATAAAAAGAATAGAAGGGACTCCTGGGTGATTCAGTGGTTGAGCCTCTGCCTTTGCCTCAGGGCATGATCCCATAGTCTAAGATTCCAGTCCCACATAGGGATTCCTTCAGGAAGCCTGCTTCTCCCTCTGCCTGTGTCTCTGCCTCTCTCTGTCTCTCATGAATAAATAAATAAAGCCTTTAAAAAAATAGAAGAGTAGGATGGAATTTTTTTAAGTGCATTTTACTATTTTCTTTTTGTTTTAGTCTTATAAACATAACATAAAGGCACTCTCATGTACTCATACATGTACAAAGTATATTTATATATAAGAGTACTGAATAAGAGACATTTTCTAGATTCAAAAATATGAAAGCCAACGTCCTAAAGAACATGTAGAGACATCTGTGCACTAGAAATGTGCATGTGTAGAGACATCTTTGCACTAGAAAATATGTATCAGAATTTTCATAACATTGCAAAAGTAAAATCCTGAGAAAAAACACAAATTCATCTATAATACAGTGGATAAATATGTTGATAGACATGCATTGAATGGACTATAATTCAGACCTAAAATATTAATGAAGTATACACAAAATAATGTCAGTAAATCATAGTATCATAATGCTCAAAAAAAATCAAAATAGAATAAAACCCTACCTCCATAAAATAAAAAATCTTTAAAAGCCTGAATCATATATAGTTTGGGTAACCTAACATATATGAATAAAGCAAAAACAAAGGGAAAATGATGATAAGCACATTATTTAGGATTTGTTTACCTCTGAATTTTTCTTCATGTGGGGGAAAGATGATGGGATAAGGCAGGAGCCCACAGAGGACTTCAAAATTAATACCAATCAATTTTATTAAACTTAGGTTTTCCTTGTAAGCACTCAATATTTAATAACTATAATTTTTAAAAGAATACAAATGTCTGAAACTTTTTGCTACACAACCATAAGAAATTCAATTATCATTTCCTTAATTTTTTCAATTGTATAATTAGATTAATATTACTAACATCATAGTTGAGTTTTATAAAATAATTAGCATATAATACATTTCCAATAGATAAAAGAACAGATGCTATATTCGTTATTTGATAGCAAAAATCTACCCAGATCTTACCCCAAAATCTTAAAGAACTTTGTGTCTTCTCACCAGTGAAGCATTTAGAAGAGATGTACTGTTATATTGGCTATCTAATGGGTGTTGGTCAGAAGAAATACAAAAGAAGGAAAGAAGTCTCATTCCTAAACATTCCTTGAAGGGCAAAACATACGGTTTGATAGATTATACAGAGCTATAAACGAGGTCCTTTGGTTTTAAAAGTTTCTTAGTTAGCACATATCAAGATTACTCAGATATTATCACGTCACTGTGGAACACCTGAAACTAATGTAACATTGTCTCGACTATACTTCATCAAAAAAGAAAAAAATCACTCAGATAAATTCACCATCTTATAAAACTCTAAATGTAAAAATATACTTCACTGTAATATATATTGATTCTTTTTTAATAAAGGAGAATTCATAAATGTGAAGAAAAATATCTTCTGATTTGAAACCTGCATAAATTTCTACAGCCCACAAGGATTTTTCTAGCAATTTTCAGAGCTTAGTTTTGTTTCCACCAGGTAGAGCTTCTTTCCTTTGGCAACCAATGTTTCTATTCTGCAGCTGTCTTATCAGGCTGGCTTGTGCAGTAGAGAACAATATTTGAACCATAAAACACAACTATATTACCCGTCCTATAATGTAAGATTATTTTTTTTATGGTGAACGTAGGGGCTGGGAGCAATATATCTTCATATCCTTATTTTGACCACATCTTTATTTGCCACATGAAATTCAAACCATAAGTGAGCCCTAGATTCTTACATATTATTAAAATGTTGTCAGACTACCACATTACTGTGTTTTACTAGTTTATTGCCAACCTTATACACAATGCTTCCACACCCAGTGTTTATATATAGATTGATCATATGAACAAGGAACTTGCCCAGATGTCGCAAGCAATTGGTCATTTGTATTCAAAGAGGCAATTGTTTCCACTATTTAAAATTGCTTTTTCCAGCATTTTTTTTTTTGTACTTGGGATGAGCAAAGATTCCCCTAAAGCACAATGTTTCAAATACATATAGTATCTCTCATCATTATGGTCTGATATAGATTATTTTTACTGCTCTAAAAATTCTTTGGGTTCCACTTATTCATCTCTACTCTCCACCCACCAACGACCATTTTAGTGTTTAAAGGGTAGATATCATTTGTACCCCTTACACTAGCTATGTTTATATGAAGAACACATCCAGTGGAAATATATCAGTGGAAGTAATGAGTTGTCGGTGACCTATTTGGCATTGTAGTCTTGGAAAACTGAGTGTGTTTACTGGAAAATTCTATATGATAGCAAAAAATGTCCATATATAGACAGAAACACTTCTAACAGAATTTTTTTCCTCCTTTCTAGGGGTTTATTATTCAGTACAACCCTTTGTGGGAGATGTTTAGTCATGTGCTTGGAAACAAAGACAGTATCAGTTACATGATTCCTCTGAGACTACTGAAAACTAATTTTAGCTAAAATTTGAAAAGCCATTTGTGGCAGTGGGTAGGGGTAGAAAAGGTGAGGAATAAATGAACATAATTAATGAAATAAGATTTCAGTATTACTTATTCAATGTACGTTTCCCATTTCCCTCAAAATCTTTCAGCTCCTGGTCCCACAGTGATCTTTAAAGCCTACAAAAAGGCTGTGAATCATTCTCCAGTAAGATGCTTGGACTCTCAGACATTTCTGGCCCTAAACCCCTTATGTAAGTTCTATCAGCAGGAGTGACATTATGATTCCTGTTCCAGAAATAAAGGTTTTGTTGTTGTTGTTGTTTTTCTCTAAGATTTTATTTATTTATTTGAGAGAGAGAGCATGCACAAGTGGGGAGGGGCAGAGGGAGAGGGACAAGCAGACTCTGCACTGAGCAGGGCTTCGTGCAAGGCCTTGATCCCAGGACCCTGAGATGATGACCTGAGGTGAAGTCAGATACAATTCACTGAGTCACCCAGGTGCCCCTGCTTTGCTTTTCAAAGTACGGTATTAAAATAGACAATGTTGGGGATCTCTGGGTGCCTCAGAGGTTTAGCGCTGCCTTCGGCCCAGGGCCTGATCCTGGAGTCCCAGGATCAAGTTCCACATCAGGTTCCCTGCATGGAGCCTGCTTCTCCCTCTGTGTCTCTGTCTCTGTCTCTCTCTGTCTCTCATGAATAAATAAATACAATCTTTAAAAAATAAAATAGACGATGTTATAAAAATAATTCATATTGTTTAGTCTGGAGATGAAATAATTCTCCTTTCCCAATTTTAGACCTATTGTAAATATACCCTACTCAACTGAGATAAGAGCAATCTCAGACCATTACTTTGCATATAGTTTATTTACTACAGACCATAAATAAACAAAATTCATGAAAAGATTAACTCAATGATGTTAGTTCTTTAGTTTTATTCTAGAGACTCACTAATCCACATCCCCCACTGCTAATCAAGCCACAAATTTGTTCCCTCCATCTTTTCACTGGATTTTGCAATTTTGTTATTCTATTACTAAGTGAATCCCAACAAATTCTGTCCTGCTGTCCCAACAATTCTGTCCTTATCTGAAGGTTTTGATACAATATAGGGTGAGGGCCAGAGAACTGTTTATTTTTAAAAGTTATCCATTTATGACTTTTATGTAATCTGTGATACAAACTACCACACTTGGATCTTCATTCACCACCTTTGTCCTGTTACATTTCTGGTGTTCACACCTATTTAACAGTCTGGATTTCTACAAGATAGGATAGAATTCAAGTTTTACCCACAGAAGTCTGGCCTTTACCTCCCTTCTCATCTTCTGTTTTATTACTCTGTAGGACATTTTTTACTTCAGTCATCCTGATCACAAACATCCCTTTCACAGTCTAGCATCCACACCTTTATTCACATTTATCATCAGCCCTCAAATGTCCTCCTCTTCCCTCTCCAATTACCTAAAGTTTAGCCTTTGGATTCCAAATAAAATCCACCTCTGTGGCAAATCATTCTCAGACAGTCATGGATGAAAGTGATTCCTCCCTCCCTTTTCTGAACTCTCAATGCCCTTATATATTCCCCTTCTAATTTGTCACTTTCCATATACTGAGATGAATCATCTGAATTTTTCCCCCCAAAGAATGTTTCTGATCTACCAAAATGACCAGTAA